AACATTGCGTGCGCCACGAGCGCTTTCGCCGAACTCCAGACCCGACGCACCGTACCCGCAACTTTGTCGATTTTTCTACTTTTTTCTTGCATTCGCTTTCCCCTTTTAACCATTTCTTGCTTGCACACTTTGTTGCACCCTTGAGTAGCTGCTACGCATGGGTGCGCTGAGCCAGCTACATGCAACACGTACGCGCCACGTGTCGCTGTTGAGGCCGTAGCAGCTGCAAATCGCACTTACGTCAAACTTGTTGACTTTAAGGCGTATTTTACTTGTGCGATTTTAAGTAGCAGCAAGTGACGCTGATCAAATGCTTGTATTTTTTTTTTTTTTTTTTTGGAATAACTTAACCCAGTTACTATATTTAGCGGTAAGCCTTAGGTCGGTGCATTGGGATTGCAAATTTTAGTTTTTTTAAAAATCGTTTAAAATGGAAAATTTAAATGGACAATCTTTAAGACGATAAGTAAAGTGGTTTCTACTTATTATGTCTCTATAGTTTCCCCTAAAGCTCGCATACTTTTTCAAAGCTGACTTATTAAGAATAGTTTGGCTAACCCACTTTTGAAATTGTGACACGCTTTATTATATGGTACTTTCGACACTAGTATTCTTATTATCAAATTATAAGTCCACACCAGCTCAATGAGATGTCTAAAAATATAAGCTCCAAGGTGTTGAAGCCTTAATTTCCCAAGCCAGAAGAATAAAGATGGAAGCGTCGAGATGTTTTTAGCTCGACCAGTTAGAACCCTTACAACTAGAGAAAGGCAAAACTTGTCTCGATGAAGAGCTCATTAGACCGCTTGCGATCCACTTTCAGCCAAAAGGAAGCTTTGCAATAGTAGACCGTATAAAGAGCGTGGACCCATTCCCATTCTATTGCTCGCGTAGCTGTAGTGTCTTTGCTTGCCACCTCGTCAGCTTTGCGCTGTCGCCCCACACTAGTTTTTTCACGAAGTAACCCAATGCCTTTGATATCGATATCAAGCAATGCTTAACTCACCTTGAATGCACGGTTAGTAAGCTCGTGATTGGTATCGCCAGTACGCAACAGAGAGCATAGTCACTTTTCTGAAGGAGACTAGAGTCCGGAGCAGTAGATGTACTGCTCTATTTACTAGCAGCAACCTCAGCTTGGAAAATGTTACAGTAGCCAGGAAGCACAAAACTTATGTTAATAGATGAATCTTTACTGCAGACTCCGCCACCAAATCCTTTTCCACCATACTTCATTTTCTACACATCCACATCTCTCTCGTAGGTATGTGGGCATAAAACATACCTCCAGAGTTCTGTTTTGCGACTCCAATATCCAAAAGATCCAAAAATAAATAATATTTGATTGTACAAATCGAAGTTATCATTTCCTAGTTGTGAAGAGGTTGTACAAACTTTCCCCTATTGTGTAGCTATTCACCTAAGAGAAGCTGCGAAAACTGCAATTTAAATGTGCTCAAAAATTATCACGTCAACGTTATAGAGATTTAATTCGAGAATAACCTGTAAAAAGAGAGCGCCCTCATATGCAAATATCATTACTCGAATGCTGCATTTCTAAAATTTCATCCATGTGGTTTTTTCCACTTGCGGAAGCTCATATAATATCTTCGGAAAACAGTAAATAGATTGATTTTATTTTGATAAACATTTATATATTTAAAATATACTAAACAGCTTATAAGCAACATATCTCTACGCAAAGGCTTCAGCCAACAATCAAAGCATATACAATATACTATACTCTTTGTCATGTTTTACCATATATACAAATTATTTTAATTCCACGAAAACATATAGCAATCGTCAGCATTTAAGCTTTAAAAGTAAGTCTTTAAATATATTCCCTGAAAATACTTAGATTACAGCAATTTCTTAGAATTTACATTGTACACTCATGCTACTCTGTTTTCTTAAGTCTCCTAATCACTACTCTTTGTACTACCTACACTTTATATATACACATATGAAATTGTTTTCTTACTCAACCTTCTTTCTAGCAGCCCTTTATGCTTTCTTATGCGTTTCTTCATGTTTACACCGTCATTTACCTTTATTGTCACAACATTCTCAGCCTCCTTGCGGCGATTCTTTCTTTTCTCACGCTTATATGAGAATGTCTCAGCTGCTTTGTTCTGTCAAATCGCATTAGAGACAGCAAGCTTGCCAATTAGGAAGAGTTTTAGGCAGCACGAAAATCGCATAGCTTATTTATATAAACAATGGAATACATATTTATGTTTGTACTCAATATATATGTATGTATGCCATAAATATAGGTATATGTATATAACTTTAGATGGTTGCAAAAATAAATACACATAATGAGGTAAATGCTTCTGTGGTGCCAAAAGTAAATACATGTGGCTATCGGCTGCCATATTTACTCACCTATGTATGCACATATGTATGTATGGTATGTATAAATCTTGCCATGACATGCTATGTTATGCGTACATGTGATAAGTTATGCATACTCGTGTAACCAGAAGCCCTGGCAAGGGCTGTAGACTGCATAGGTATGGGTGAAATTGAATAAATCCGCTGTGGAGATTGTTGTTAGTGGCGGTGCATCAACAGTTGCTCTGTTGCTTTTAAGGGCATTGATTTACTTTAATGTTAGCTGTGCTATTTAGAGAGCATGTAGTGTAACAAGAAAATTTACGCAATATTTAAAATTTATTTTCCAAAGCTTACTTTACTGATAACAATAAAAAATGTTAACTTATTTACACCGTAGCTATAATAACCTTCACAAATACAAAAGATTCCTCACAATAACCTTGAATGGTCAGTTTGTATGGCAGCTATACGCTATAGTGGCTCATTCTGAAGAATTTCTTTGAAGATTATACCTTTGTCTTGGACAATAACCCAGGCCAAATTTGATGAATATATCTGCTTAAATGAAAAAGTGCTCAACACAGTTCATATGGCAGCTATATCATATAGTAGTCTGAACTGAACGATTTCAACTTTCGGAGGTTAAATCGCTGTTTGAATAATAATGCAATGCCTAATTTCATGAAGATATTTCGGCAGTTAAAACGGTTTTCCATAGAATAACTTGATTACAATCGTTTAGTTTGTATATGAGCTACATGCTATTGTTATCTGATATCAGCGGTTCCGACAAATGAGGATCTTCTTGAAAAGAGAGGAACGTATGCAAAATCTCAGATCCATATCTTAAATATATTCAGACAGACGGACAACTTAGCATGTCATGCTAATCATTTATCTATATATTTCGTAGGATTTCCGATGATTTAAGTGTTACAAACCTCGTGGCAAGCTTATTATACCCTATCCAGTTCAAGGTAAAACAAAGCTGTTTCTCTCAAAACCTTCATATTTTTAACTTCATTTTATAACGTTTAATTAGTGCCTAAAGCTTTGAGATATAAATCAGTAGACCCTATTAGATATACTAAGCGTTTTGCGCTTACCACAAATTTCTTATAGCGGCTAGTATCAATTCATGTCAATCCCCTATTTTTGCCGATGGTACAAGTACGTCTCCCAGAAAAAACTAGTTCTCCCACTTTCCCCTGAGCCTCGGTCCATCCATGACAAAGCACACTGCTGCTCTACTCCATTGGCGTTGATCCACCCATATATTACTCCCAGCTATATGCGCCGCTAAGGAAGCACCTAGAGAACGATCTGCGTTGCAATTTTTTTAGATTGCCAGGTATGCATGTGAAGTAGCATGAAAGTTACTTGAAAAAAAGGGTAGACTAGCAAGCCGATGGACGAGCTCAAGGTAGCATTCGTACCGAACTCCTCGCTATACCGCACGAGATGTTTAAAAACTAACATAAAATACCAACAAAATACAATATTGGTTTTCCAGATGCATGACTCTTAATGGATGAAAGACGGTTTATCTTCAGGCGGTCGAAATAGTGTGGAACTTTTGGAATTTTTATTTAGAAAAATATTTCTTGGACTTTCCAGGCTTGTATTTAGTTCTAACAGCATTGCCACTATTATTGAAATCAAAAGTTTGAAATACAAATATATTCGTCGTACTCGTACGTTAGCAAAGCCTTTGACGTAGCTAGTTTATAAATAAACTGTTCTAAACCAGTTGACTATTTTGGCTTCCGCATCTGAAATCATTGTCTACCGCGTGTGCGGAATCACTATAAGCTTACTAAAAAAATATTCCATGAAAACAACGGATGTATGTAAACACTCCTGACATGTGTGCAGTGGACTTTTCATTACCATCATTGATGGCTGTGAACCAGCCGGCTTGGGACTCTTGTTAATCTATTCTCAAAATTTGCTAGCCAATTTTGGTGGCTATGTACTCGTACATATTAATACAACCACGCAGTTGCTACAGTCTCCGCGGTTGTTGTTGTAGCGCCTGCTGTTGACTGGCCATGAGTTTCATTAGTGGAATCGCCGCATAACGGCTGCCACATGATTGTTATGACCAATTGTGGTGGTCAACAATGCGAAGCGTGTGTTTAATATGCGCCACATCATTTTGTGGAAAGTCACTTTATGGCAAGCTGCATTATTATGCGAGTTAAAGTGCCTAATTTTTGAAAAGTTGGGAATTTCGTTAAATATCTTTGTAAAGTTATTTTTATACTTTATTTAATAAAATTTTTTTTACTCTCAGCGTGGCTAAAGATGAATCTCTTACTCTCTCTCTATTGTTCCTATCGATGATTACCGCCTTAAAAGAGGCTGTCAAATAGTCAGCAAATTAAGTCACTAGCTTTTTTTATCAAAACTAAATCAACATATTTTATATTGGAAATTTGGCAGGCAACAAATGATTTGGTTGAATCCAAACGTCAAAAAAATTACTCATACGTCCTGCCTAACTCAATTCCAGTTCAAAATTATTATTAGTTATTTATAAATTCTATATATATTAGACATTTTCTTACTTAATTTACAACAAAGTTCTATAAGCTTCTCGGCACTTTTCTGTATACTCACATACATATATGTATGTATTCTTTTACACTCAACAGGTCTCCTCATACGGCAAAGGTGTACTCATTACTGGCTGCGAAACACCCATCGCTTGGTATTTGGCTAAGAAACTCGACGACTTAGGTTTCACTATTTATGCTGGCTTCAATGTGCCCATCGCTGAATCAGATGAGGCGAAAATCCTGAAGGAAGAAACTTCCGGTCGTTTGAAATTGTTGCATGTGGATGTGAGCTCGGAGAAATCTGTAAGTAAAAAGAAAAAAACTATGACAGAATGGATATACAAATATTACTTTAAGTGTAAAATAGCTTTTATTATGTACGAAACCTTGCTAAACTATTTTAGTTAAGGCAACCAGCAAAACTGTGCAAGAAAGCTTTTAAGTAGCTTTAAAGTTGTGATGAATGCTAGCTTTTTTCTCTTAGTGAGCTTTTGTACCTTACGTAGATTTATGTATTTGTTACATGCAGTAAAAGCACCCAAAAGTTGAGCCCATATCTAACATAATTATTCATAGAGCTAATTTTTAAAGCGTTTTTCCTTGAAAAGCTACAAATAATGTCGTTATTCTACGCGATGTTTGCTTGTCTACATTTTACTACACTAAACAATTTGGCAGCAAGTTGATGGTTAGTGAAATTCACCAATGCTATGCCTTCTTTGCCTTTTCTGGACATATATAAAGAATGTGAACCTATCGTCACTTTCGGTATCGAACACTGTTCCAGCGAGCTAGTCTCTCCTTCATACCAATTATCGACCTAAAAACTTTATTGAAAACCTAAAGCTGGCTTAAAAGCTTTATTGCAGGCTTATTATAAAATTAATACGAAATTATATTATACCCAAACTCAATATTAATTTTCGCACCCTTCCTTTTATCTAACATTACATAGCTACTTGAAGCCGCTGTCTATATTTCCGAACATTTACCTGATGGTGCTTACGGCTTGTGGGCTGTAGTGCATTGTGCTCACTGGGTTGCACTTGGAGAATTGGAGTGGATTCCATTTGGTGTATTGCGCAAGTCATTGGATTTGAATTTGTTGGGTGAGTAGTAAAATGAGGTGACATGAGTAGAATTGGAAAAATATAAAAAAGAATCACAATCAGCGACATCTGGCGTACAATAAACAAGCTTCGAGTAAAACTTTAAGCTCACATATTCATTAAAGGTTAACACTAACACACTTTTACTGCAGGTGCCGCACGCTTGACTCAGATTATGTTGCCGTTAATTCGCCGCTCAACTGGACGTGTTGTGTTCTTGACCTCAGGTGTGTAGAGCCCGCCACTTATTATATACTTTATTATTTTTCTGTCGACAAAATACAAGATCTTAAATTGCTCATTATTTGCGCTGTCTTTCTGCTTTCTTCCTCATTTCTACACAACTCTAATTACAGGTCTTAGCAAAATTCCGGCACCAGTACGTGGCATTCAAAGCGCCACCCAAGCGGCTATTGAAAGTTTTGCCGGTTGTTTGCGTCAGGAGATGCGTCAACGTGGTGTCGATGTGTCTGTAGTGGCAGCCGGTGAATTTGCCCCCGGCAACGGTTGGCTCAGCGAGACGGAACTGCGTGAACAGGTGAGCGCAACAAGTGCACGCAGTAGAGAATTAGAAGAAAGTAGCGTTAATTTTAGTTAGAGGTTATGAAATGAGACCTTGATGCAGTCGGGCTCTTGCAATTTTTGCTCGGTATCTAGTTTGTCTGCTGGGTGAAAAATATATTACCGCCATAATTGTGGCTAATATAAACGTGGCAAGTTACTTATGGGTCATTAAAGTAAGTGAACTGCATTAGCGAGTTTGCTGCCTGCTAGCACTTTCTGCATTTACTTAGCTATGTAATGGCGGGCTTACCTTGGTTTGACCAGCTGCACATCTTTTTCACATTTTACGACCTCGCCGTGCATATGCGTACCCAAAATGGTCACCATAAACATCAACGGAGTATTAACGGTAATATATGCGCACCTGTTACGAGCGAATGTATTCTTCGGGAGTTACAGCCGGAATGGCAAGCTGAAAATGTTTGGTGCTTTTATAGATTTATTAAAAGAAGGCGCTATAGAATGAAGAAGGACAAAGAGAGTTTGGTTGCCGATATATATGATATATGATATACGCAACCCGAGCGGACCCGGGCTTTTATCCGGCCAAGAACTGTCAACTCGGCAGTCTGAAGTCGTAGACACAAATTACGATGCAAAATCGTTAATTATGAGATTTTTATACTCTCGCAACGGTTTAGAATGTTGGTCCGTTTTGGTACCTAACCCAACTAAGCGCTTTTCGCTATGTCTCCTGCTTCGACGAAAATAAGACCGGCCCGAAATGTTTCAATCTCTGCCTCAGTTGTCGGAATATTCATTGATGCAGTTGAAGAAGGCGAGAATTTCAGCAGTTTCAACACCTTCATACACCCAGCTTCCCTGAGCCTAAGAGCGACTTTCGCAGCAATGCAACGGCCGGCAATATCCACGGATGCTATCTGCAGTGGCTGATGAGAGCCGCTCTTTCACGCTTCATAGCGAGTGTAACTATTTCTAGCGCCCTCTACCAGACAAATGTAACACAAAACATTATATAAACCTACGAATGAGGCGCGAGGGACATCTGGGATTCTATATCAGCTTTACATGCGTTGACGGCTAAGCCGCTCGTTCCTTTTTGCTGCAATTTCAGTCACTTCTTCGATGTTTAATCTCAAAGCCTTAACATTATCTACTATTTTAAAAATACACTGGTACACTAAGCAAAAAATTTCTACTTTCAGGCTAAGGAAATGTGGGCAAAATTGACCTCCGAACAAAAGAAAGCCTATGGTGAAGATTACTATGAAGCTGCCATGACCTCATTGGAGAAATACTCAAGAGAGGTAATAATCGCATATAACTAAACTAAATGAGATCAAATCAGTTAAAATATTCGATAACCGAATAAATTATTCATAATGTAATTAAAAATACTTAAACAAAACTAAAAGAAATATTCGTTCAAATTATAATGAAACCATAAAAGAAATTATTAAGTTAAACAAAGCTGTTTTAGATAAAATTACATTTTGTTATTTATATTTTTTTTTAATTACAAAAACAAAATTAAAAACTTCCTCCCTGCAGACCGCCGACATACAACCCTCTCTGCGCGTGCTGATCGATGCCGTCTCGCGCACTTTCCCCATGGCACGCTACACACCGGTGACTGCACGCGAAAAGATCGAAATTTTCATGGCCGAACATTTGCCTACCGCACTGTACGAAATCCTTTTCGCTGAGCCCAAAAAGAAGGTGCGTCCACAAGGTGCTTTCTAAACGCCAACACTGGCTGTGCGATCAAAAGAAACGGCAAAGGGACTAAAGGACACGGCTGCAACACTAAAGAGCGTTCACTGCACAAATTTTGTATTGTTGTGATCATTTGAATAATAACATGATTTGTTTTCCATAACAAACAGATTATATTGGCTAAATTAAATAAGTAGCATAGTCACACATACATATGCAATAATTAACCATAGTCTAAAGGCGTAATTTTTGTACTAAAAAAGCATTTATTTTTTCTGTCTTTTGTCGAAAATTTTTCCATATAAATATATATCAATTTGCAATAGTTTGAAAGCGCCAAAAAGCATTTAAGAAATTGTTTAAAATCTATTTTTAATTTCTGCGTTATAATTAGTTTGAACTTTCATTAAACAATTATTTCACTTTATTTGTGTAGTTCTTAAGCTCATACTCAATAAGCCAAATTTTAATATAAATAAATAATTGTATTTCTTTTGAATAAACTTGTGAGATTTACAATAAAGGTGAATAGAAACCACGATTGGACAGAGATTTGTTTGGTAAAATATTTTTTTTTGGCGAAATATTTCAATCTCAGTCTGGCAAAATCAGAGCAATAGAGAAGGAAGTGCCAAGATGATACAACCTCGCCTTCATCCATAAATTCCTTTAGCAAATAGCGTCCGACAGAATATTTAGGCGCATATACCTGTTAGACAGTATCCAGCCACAATACCAGGCTTGCTTGGATTTAAGAACCAGTAGTCCGGAGGACCTCATACGGTTCACTCTGAGTCATAAATATCTTGCAGTACATCTAATGCTAATTTGATGGCAGCCACCGCCGCTTGAAAAACGCTACAGTGATCTGGTAGTCTGAAACTAGAGTTGATGGAGAGCTTGCGATAGAAATATCCACCACCTATTCTCCCTCTTAACTTCGATCCATCCGAGAAAGAGCTCACTACACTTCCAACCTTCTCCAACGACTTTGCCCCGCCCACAAATGTCTCGTTGATGTGTGAGCTAGGGAGGAACTGCAAATCAATCGAAGCAGTGGAGAATTTCAGGGTTCCTTGCCCGGGACCCCTCATATACCCAGCTCCCTTAAGTCTAAACACAATAGCCTGTCCGATAGACGTTTTTAGGCAGGGTGCAATTGTACGAATATTACACAAATAATATTTCTATTGGCCATCAGGGGTCAACGACTTTGAATTAAATTTTGGATTCGCCCATAAATATGAATTTTATTGTTATCACAATTATATTATATATAAGTACATAAATATATTTTTTAGGGTTTCCTTTAACTGCGGTTGGAGCGTAGGGCTAAGAATCCGACAATAAAAACTGAAGAAACTCAACTGAATTTATAAAAAGTGAAATTCAAGAAGCGATTATCTGCAATGGATGGTGCATGCAACATGAGTATGATGGCATAAGTAGGTATATTACAGGTACGGCACTAGTACAAAGCATAGCAAAATAAAGCACCAAAAGAAAATGTTAAAAGCAAAAGTTGACTGCAGCAGAGCGCTTGTTGCCATAAAAGTAACGAAATCGCTTCAAAACTCAGAAAAGCGCTGACTTTTTAGCGCTGTACACAGGTGGCACACGCGATATATTTTTTGTTGCAACACAATTTGCTTGTGTCTGTCACCTGCACTTCGCTGTGCTGTCAACAGTTTGTCAGCGAAGAGATAAACAAATGGTTTTTCGCATCTTCTAACTGTCACAGTCATCCGCAACATAATCAGCTCTTTATGAATATATGTAGATTCAGATTTACGGTAATAAATATGTCAGCACAACAAATGACATTGTTCCGTTGCAATTATTATTTGTTGCTCGCGAAACTGCGGTCTTTATGAACTTTACTGACTACCCCTGATCCACCAACTTATATCTAGTACTTAGGTTTAATACTTGTAGCTCTACCTAACTGTGAGCAACTAACGGTAATTGAGTTCGAACCATTTCACATTTCTCTGACTGATGTGATGTGTAGTTTTGACAGCCCCTTAATATAATCAATTAGCAAATGGTCTACAGTAATACAGTTAATTTCTAATTGAGTGACTTAAGAGGTTGTCTGAAATGTAGTATTAGAATGGCATAAAGTATTTATGGAAAGTTCACAGCAAACTGGGTACCCATAGTGAATCATATTATATCTAAAAGTCTTCCAAGGCTCAAAAAAAGACTTCTCTCTACCAAGAAATAGAGAAAGACCTTCCGATTGGCGCACATGCGATATGACCTCTATTATCGAAGTTGTCAAACAGAATGTGGGATCGATTTATCTCTGGTCTTCTTTATACCATGAACAGTGTATATTAGGTTTGCCGCGAAGTTTGTAGTACCAAGATGGAAACGTCGAAGACCCTATAAAATATATACAAATTATCAGCGTGATGAGCTGACACGACTTAGCCGAGTCCGTCTGTCTATATATATATAATCACACTAGTCCCTCAGTTTTTGCGCTATCTCTCTAAAATTTTGCACACATCAATTTCTCTTCAAAGAACTGCTTGTTTGTCGAAACCGCGATATCAGACCGCTATGGCATATAGTTGCCATACAACTGTCATATCTTTACGAAATTCCGCACGAATTATTGCCCAAAGCAACGCTACAATCTTCGAATAAATTTTTCAGATTGAACCACTATAGCATATAGCTGTCGTACGAACAGAACAATCGAGGTCAGTTCTTGTATATGTAAAGGGTATTATAGCCTGACACAATCGAAGGTTACGTTTTTTCTTCCGCTTGACTGTCTTAGACGGAAATGGGCTCATGACTTGCCGTCGATATACAAGTATTTTATCTGCAAAAAGCCAACTATTCTAAATGAGAGAAATAGCCGATACGTTGCGAAATACTAAAATTTCGAAGGCTTACGACCATCATGCTCCACTAATAAACACCTAGATGGCGCTATTGTCAGTTAATGAATTATGCATGTAGAGCGGATTAGTTGTGCCACTGTACGCATTGCAGCCTCTTCTCTTTTATCCATGGTAATTGCGTTTGCAGTAATTGGAGCTTGAAAATGCTGATTTTGTGAGTTGTAATGCAACTGTTTTGACATAAGCTTAAATGACCTCGCACACATACACACCCAAACGCATACTATGCGTTACGCATAATGATTTGATGACTCAGCTAAATTTTGTGAATTTCCAAATTTGCGGCATTCACAATACCACCAATTTAATTGCAGCACAATGAACGACGGAAGACACATAAGCGTGCCTATGTGTGTACCAAAGCCTTCAGCGAGGTGCTTAAAGCTCATACGTACGCTCGTATGTATGTGTGGCTTTTGAAATATATATATATATGTGAAATGAAATACATTTTTTCAAAAACTGTCACCGAATTTAAATAATGCATTGGTCACAATGCCAAATTTGATTTACCATTCCACGCCGCACACGTTGGGCAACCGAATTTTGCTGTGGCGGCATTTTGGCTATAAAGAGTGAAAAGAGCAAAATATTGTATAATATTTATATGTGCGTTATTTTTATACTACTGCTATAAGCCGATTTCATTAAAATATATCATTAATTTTTCGAGGAATCCTTATGTTGATCATTAAATTTAGCTTAAGAGAGATATGAACCAATTTGTGCTATTCTAAAAGACAAAAAATAATATACAAGAAGTAGGCGTGGCTGTGATGCGACTTTATTCATTTATAAACTGTACAAAGGAGGTTATCATGTCAACAATATATGATTTTACATATTACACGTAAGATGGCCATATTAACGGATACTACTTTAGTTGGTAACTTCTACAGACGAAACCAAAATTAACCCAAATAAATTCGAAAGTGTGTTAAAGGTACCATGATTGTTCAAGCAATATATGTGTATATAAAGGTTTAATACTCGAATTACTCGATACCAGAGAAAAGCACAAATGAAAAGTTTAGACAGAAATAACATATAAAGGGTGTTTTTTTAGACGTAGGGTTTTCAATGGAGCACTACCTTTTCGGAGTTAATCTTTTTGACAGCTGACATGCGCTGTGTCCAATATTCGATCGACATAATTGCCCAGCAGAGTCGGTAATACAAGCAAACATGTATTAATTTCGCACCACGTTTTCTCTAGTAGATAATGTGCATGCTCAGAGACGTCGTACAGTGCGCACTGAGGAGGCTATTGCTGCTGTGGAGCAGAGTAGACTCGAATCAATCTATCTACCATCACATATAACACTTGGAGCGTGCCTATCCACTGTACGGAACCTTTTGTGGAATGATCTTGGTTTGCGGACTTACAAAATCCAACTCGTACAACAATTGAAACCGAACGACCATCAAGCGCGTCGCACGTTCGATGAATGGGCCCAAGACAAGATGGCCACTGATCCCAATTTTCACAAGAAAACTTTGTTCAGCGATGAAGCTTACTTTTGTTGTGTTCTCATTTGAAATGATGATAATCCACAAGCCATTGTTCAGATGCCGTTACATCCTGAAAAAGTCAGAGGGAATCATTGGTCAATATTTCTTCAAATATGAAGTCGGCCATGCTGTTACTGTCAATCGGGAAGACTATAGATCCGTGGGGAAGGACTTTTTAGAGTCTGAATCGGAGGATGTTGAAGTGGACGACCATAGATTCCAACAAGAATTGAATTTATTGAAAGAAACAGCTGGTGAACGTATTATCTCGCGACGTGGGTCTGTGGCGTGGCCTCCACGATCGTGGGACTTAAGACCGCTGGACTATTGTGGGGTCATGTGAAGTTGCTTGCAGATAAACCCAAAACGATTCACGCCTTAGAAGAAAATATTTGGCGCGTTATTGCTGACATACGGTTCGAAATGCTGCAAAAAGTGGTCGAAAATTCGGTCTCTCAGCCAGCCGTGGCGGTCACTTGCCCGAAATCATTTTTAAAACATAATGACATATGATTATACCATATGATTCTTTGCCGTAACATTGAATTATATGCGTTATATTTCTTCGTGAAAACTACATGTCTAAATAAACACCTTTTATAAAGTATATAGATATGAAAAATATGTAATTTATGGTCAAATTTGCATGTGCTTTCCTTTCTCATACCTGTCTCTTAACTAATTTATTTTTCCCACCATCCTGTTTTGTTATCAACTAGCCTTATCATGTATACAATTATTTATTATATATAATATTTTTGAAATATTATAGTTGCCCACACTTTACTATTCTACAACACCTACCCACTTCGCAGCACTTGCTTTCACACCTTTCAATAACGCCAATTAATGTTCAAGTTTAACGCTCGACTGGCGTTAGCACGTCCAACAGGACACACCCAGCCGCTCATTACAAGCTACCCCAGCATTCAAACCCAAAACCATAAAGCCTTACTGCGCACGTGTACTCGCATTTATGGCCGCAATGATGTACCACTACAATTGGCTGCCACTGTTGCATAAATTTTAATCTGGAATTAATTAAGCGACTCACGGAAGCATCGTCGATGACAGGTTAGCAGACATACAAATATATAATATTTCATATAAA